ATATGTATGTGTATTTCTTTATTTATACGCACACACACATATCCACATAGATATTCCATAGCTTACATAATGTGTGGACTGGATGTGCTGGGACAAACTGAGGGAGCCATCTCATTGGCCATTCCCCTTAGAGACCTATGATGAAAGCATCATCTTGGAGAAGCATTGGATTGGACTGGTAGTTATGAAGGAAGGAAACAAGCATTAATTAAGTGCCTACTATGTGCCATGTACTGTGCTAAGTGCTTTACAAATATTACTTCATTTGATCCTCACAACAACCCTGGGAGGTGGGTGCTATTATTAACCTCATTTTACAATTGAAGCAAACAGGTTAAATGACTTCCTATCCAGGGTTCTACAACTAGTAAGTGTCTGAGGTCACATTTGAACTCGGGTCTTCCTGACTTACTTTATCCATTGTACAACCTAGCTGCCTAGGAAATCTTAGTTATAGTCCTAGTCTTATAGTCTCCTGCTTTATTACAATGTGACCGTAGGCAAGTCATTTCACTTTCTGGGCCTCAGTTTCCTGAATTGTAAAATGAAGATGTTGGACTTGGTGGTCTCCAAAGTTCTGTCATAGTCACTCAAACTTTAATAGTTTAAATGATCTGGGATTTCATCCATGTGGATGCTCCTTTCCCAGAGGCAGATCACAACTTTCCTGCAGTAATAGCAGTGAATATAGTACTTAATGGTTTATAAAGCTGTTTTATTTGCTTGTTTATTGATGTTAGCTCATACTGCAGTCACTTCTCTATGTACACCAGAGAATCTTCTCTTGAAACTCAGAAAAATAGTTAAGCAAAACTAACTGACCTAGGAGCTGCATGAAAACAATTTTCCCACAACACAATGAAATAAGTAGGGCAAGAATTATTATCCTTGGGTCATGCAACCAGTGAACCAACAAGTACTAATTAAGCTATTAAGTCTGTGTGCCAGACCCTATGCTAGGTTCTGGGGCTACAAAAACAAAGAATGGTACCCTTCCTCCTTTCTAGGAGCTTACTCTATGAGGGTAGACAAGAAGTACACATAGAAGCATATACGGAGTAATTATAAAGAGAATAAATACAAAGAAATGCAAAGTAGTTAAATACAAGGTAATTAGGGAGGGCACTAGCATGAGGAGTGGCTAATGGTGGATGAAGGAAATGGAGTGCTGGGGGTAAGGAACAGAGAAAGCAAGTTTGGCTGGATTGCAGTTTGCAGGAGTGGGGAGCGACATACAATAAGCCAAGAAACAAGGGTTTGGGCTAGGTTGTGAAAGGCTTTAAAAACCAAACAAGGGAGTATATATTTTATCCTTGTAATATCCTGTTAGAAGAATTAGCTTGTTTTAGGAGCAGCTAGGTGGCGCAGTGGATAGAGTACCGGCCCTGGATTCAGGAGGACCTGAGTTCAAATTTGGCCTCAGACACATAACACTTACTAGTTGTGTAACCCTGGGCAAGTCACTTAACCCCATTGCCTAGCCAAAAAAAAAAAAATAATAAATTAGCTCATTTTAAGTCTAGGGGCAATATAATGCTTCCTAAGGTCCATGTGGCTCCTCCCTCTGCAGCTTTAGGGAGTTTATTTTAGACAGAAAGTACAATTATAATTATTTCAAGACCCCAGTAAGCAAAATTCTTAACATTTAGGCAGAAGTTTGGCTCTTTGCCTTAATTTACAGTTATATCTATCTCCATGTAACTCCTGGCCTCTTTGTGTTTGAGGCAAGATTCAGGTTGCCAGGAATGTTTGGGTAACAAAGCAGCAGATTATATTAAAGTGTCTATGGATACCAGACACCAGCAGGGGAAGCTGGAGAAAGAGTAGACCACCCTACCCTGTGGAGGATATGTGAGAGGATATGGATGATAGTCACACCAGATGACATATGGAAATGTTGTGATTTGTACTGTTGGAAGAAATACTTAGATCAAGAAGATCATTAATCAAAAAGCATTTATTAAGTACTAGCTGTCTGCCAGGTAAGTACTATGCACTATGCTAACATCATGAATCCAGTAAGTTATTGAAGTATTAGCATTTTTATCCAGGAGGCTGAATGCAGATTGAAGCATACTGTTTTTCATTTCATTTTTTCTTGGTGTGCTTTTTATTGGGGGGGAGGTCTAACTACTATGGAAATATGTTTTGCATGTTTGCACATGTATAACCTATCTCCAATTGATTACTGTCTCGGGGAGGTGGGAAAAGGAGGGAGAGAGTTTGGAACTCAAAATTAAGAAAAAAATGTTAAAACTTGTTTTTACATGTAATTGGGAAAAAATAAAATATTCAAAGAAAAAGAAATATTAACATTTTTATCTCATAATGTAGGTGCTGCTGCTGCTGCTACTACTACTACTACTACTACTACTACTACTACTACTACTACTACTACTACTACTACTACT